TTAAATTCTACTGTTAGAGAGTTATGAAGCGGAGAATTTCATATTGTTCAAGCTCTCATTGCCTGCCTTGTGATAGTATTCACTAGAATCATGATACTAACATCAGCGATGAGCAGCTAAAGCAATCGCATTTCACGAATGACATGGTTTTTACAGCGCTCGTGGGAAAAAGAGATGCTGTAGAAGCTTGATGCGAACCCGACGAAAACAATGGTGATGCAAGGTATCAGCATGTCTAAGGCGAGAATGCAAATAGAGAGTGCTGGCTTGTAACTTAACAGTTACTTCTATCTTGGCCAAAAAATAAAAAGGCGTCACAACCTCTAGCAGAAAATTGCATGTATAAGATTTAAGAACTGTCTGTAAGCCTAAATTTAATAGCACCACCGACGTATCCATAGTGTCGAATACATTTTTCGTCACACCCGCGTTTTCACTACCACTGTGCTAAAGATACAGGATAAGAAACATTGGTTACAGACGCAAACATAACTTCCAACATTGGGTGTGACGAAAAATGTAATGAACAGAGTATGTTTGACTGCTTCTTAATAACCACATAAAGTAATTAGTAATGTGAGACTTTTCCTTTTGTGCTCCCTTCGAGTTACCCACTCAACTGAAATTTGAATTTATCTGTAATTAACCACAGTCATATTATCAGCGCATAAGAAATGCTTCAATAGCAAAATCGATATCAGTAAATAATTATGCATTACATCACAAGCATCGCTCGATGTGCTACCGGAAAACCCTTTCTGTTATAGATATGCAGCAGCACGTTGAGCATACACAAGTGATATTTGTTATTAACAATAAACGATGTAAAATAAACAACGACGTCGATTTTTGGCACGGAACACTGTTTTGGCCAAGCAATGCTAAATTTCGTTGATGCGTATTATTAAAAATCCCGCGGATGAGGAGACAGCCATATCATAAAAATATAATTTATAAATTTCCCGTGTATTGCTTATCATTGGCATCATCGAATTATCGCGGCACAGACGCCCCGGCCACGCGTTCGTCAATCATTCGAATTTCAGTGCTACCGAACGACAATCAGAAAACCGCACTTAGTAACTGCACATTTAAATGGCACTGGCATCCTGATATAGTAACTAGAACTAATTTCAGCCTCAAGTGAATGGGCCGGTCCGCTACTGGAAAAACAATCCCTCTGTAACTCATATTTCACTTTCATTGTATGAAACTAAATTGCCCTCAGTTTGCCTCTAAGCTAACCTCGAAAGAGCAGACGGTTGTTCCTGTGGTGCTACAAAGTTTATTTCCGAATGCGTTATCTCTAATGAAGAATGAAAAAACAGTGAATTTGACTTTAGAATAAGATATTTCACCGAAACAATATTCGAAATTTCTGTTAGAACTTCGTAAAAGCCTTAAGCGAAAAAAAAGCTGCAAAACATATGAAAGGCAAGAATCTTTTCGGAAACAAAATGCCGATAAACACTGTCTGAGGTTTTGAAAAGACAAGCGAATAATCTTTACAGGAGAATCCGCTTGTCAGTTGGGTTGATCGGTGACGAAGATGAATTTCCCCATTAATGATAGATTGTTTCTTCCCAGCGCAATTATGTTTTCTATGCTTTTTTTCTGCAAACAGAGAGGAAATGACGATGTTCTTTTTCTCACCTATTCTTTTTTCACCTTCTTTCTCTTTATAAAGAAAAATAGGTTGGGGAATGAATATGCGATGTGAAGCACCATCACTTTTCCAATACATAACACATAAACACATATTGCTGAGGGATCGACACGATCCCTCAGCAATATGTGTTTATGTGTTATATATAGGAAAAATGATGGTGCTTCACACCGGTATATATACGTCAGTATATATATATGTGTATATATATATACCGACCATCTCAGCAATATAACTGTTTTTGCATTTGTATAAAGGTGCGAAAAAGCATAAAAAATGACCTGGAACAAAAGACATAGAGATAGCAGTGTAGTGTATGCGGTTGCAATTCAGTAATGCCAGGAGCTTGGCGCTGAGAGCTTGAACATCTTGAGATTTTACATATGGAAGCGCAGGAGTTAAAATATGTGGGAGATAAAATACCAGTAGATTAGACTATCGAATTGGGGCTGGGCGTAACAGCGCCACTTATTATTCCCGATTTCGATGGTTCAGATCCGTCTATGGAAAAAACAGTCTTGCTAGTTTTGTTTCGGTGGTAAATTGGTACCGATAAGCGACAGAAAGCTAAAACAGCCGCAGTCAAATTGCTTCTTTGGAAAAAAAAGTAATCGTAAATTCAGACAAGCGATGGGTGCTGGCAATATGCCATGATTCAAATGACTTCTAGTGCTTCTTCCTTCCTTAAAGAATTAAAGAGGAGTGGAATTTTAAGGTTTCCGTTTAACACACGCTCTTCATATACATGACGGGAAATAGGCTGTACTGATGATTTCCATTCCTATGCTCGTGCAGCGTTTAGTCCGCGTTTACAGCTAACGGACGAAAGACAGTTTGCATTCTAAGATGGCTTCTTGCACTTGATACTTAGGTTGATCCCTTATCTCCTATTCTGTAATTTTTAAAAAATATAAATTGATTTATATATGTGATATATGCTTACCAGCAGAGTTTAATCCTCGAAGATGTGGAATAAACAAGGAAGCAAAGGGGCGGCGAATGTAGGAAAATACTCCACCCGCACTTTTTTTTTCACTTATACTGAACAGTCATAACAAAACTCTGGCTATGGTTTGGCAAAAAATCCCAGCAGTCAAGAGGCTACAACAATTAAAGTCTTTTTGGCAAAATGCTAATTTAAAAAGCGGCGACGGCGATGGCACCAGCATTTATAACAGCATAACGTTGCGCTGCGAACACACACAATTACATGCAGACACACACACACACACAGGAAACGGCAAATGAATGTTTTGAGTGCTTCAGCCAGAAAATGTATTTCCGGATATTTTCACATCTGCCATTTTTCCCAAATTACCATTTCTGGCCATTTTCTTGCATGCCAAGGAGTAAATTGTTTAAAAAAAAAAAAAAAAAAACTGATTCTTTTATTGTCTAGCAAATGTTGAAAGTCATTTCACATTCTTGAGACGACTTTGGCTTTTGATAACTATAAAAATAATCAGCTCCTGATCAAGACATTTGTAGCATCTCTATATTCAAATTAAGTACCAGCAAGGTCGTTGATGAAATTCGTTATGTCCTGTTGAAATAGTTATTAACTGCGAACGTTTCTAGTATTCTTTCTTGTGGAGGGAATTGGGATAGTTCCCGAATGGTGACGGAACTATTTACGTTGACGTTCAAGCAGATACGGTATGAGGAAATCCGTCTTTTGGAAATCAGTGATTTATGGGCTTTTTGATATCAATGGGCTGGTCGGGCACACCAACGATCCTCGGACGCCCCGAGAAGCAGCATCCGCCCTTTTTAGCAGTGCCAGAATTTGCCCTGTTTTGTTGCCTCAGCTTTGTCACTCCGCAGTTCCAGCACCTATGACTGTGGAGGAGTACTACGAGTATAATGTACAAGTGAGACGGAATAAAGTGATATCATCTCGATCGACCGAGCCACGCACTTTATCTTTCTTCAACACTCCCCCACGCACTCCCTACATATAGGCATACACACAGACACACAAAAACACACACACAAACACATACGCACTATTTCTACCACAGTTGTCGTTGGCCAGCTCTACACTCATCCGACATCGCTTACCACTTGTGCTTTGTCACTCCTATAGTGGGCAAACAAAAAATACTTTTTTTCAATTTCCAGAAATGTCTCTTCCGTGTAAAATAAACAAAGAGTCAAAACACGCTAGACTTTATAATCAGTTGCTTTTTAATCGACTCAGTGTATCTAAGGCATTACATTCGGTCTGGGAGGAGGGAAGAAGATGCTTTCAATTCTTATGCCTAAACCTAAACTTAAGCTTAAGCGAGATACGTCGTATTCAAATATTGAATAACTCCGTCCTGACTAACCACTCCTTTCGAGCAATTTTTGCAAGTGGATTCCATTCTCTTTCCCAATCCAAACCGGGTCAGAATAGGGAGTGTCCGATTAAAGATGGATCAAATGGACGTTTAGTAACCAAGCCTAATTTCATTCACTGTGGAGAAGATGAACTAATGCCTTCTTGGCTGATTCCCACCTCTCTGTTGCTCGCCTCCCAAGTTCTCTCACTCTCCAATCTTATGCTCCCAAGCAAATTCGCCTAAGCAAATACCCTTCGGGCAGATTCGCCTACGAAAGTTATCCCTCTTAAGACGAGGGCCTCCGTTTTTCTTGCCAGCCACCGTAGCCCTCCCATATATCCCGTTGCCATCCCCTTTCTACTCCTATCCCTGGAAATCTTCAGGCATCTCTCTCCCTGTCCCAAACCATCATAGGATGGCAAATGCGATTTGTGTTCGTATATGTTTTTATACTTAGTAAGTCAGTCGAATCGAAGTTGAGGCTTTTGAGCTGAGTCTGGCAGAGTTCCAATAACCATCGTTGTGAAGAACACTTCGCAATGGAGTTTCTTTTACTATTTTTGTCTCTGACCTCCTTTACATTGCTCAATGTCACGGTCGTTTGAGCCCATCGGGATCACGCGTACGTTAGGACATATTACTATGGGAACTGATTTTTCCAGAATTGTGTACAAATTTTCAGCATTCTGGCTTGCGCAATCTCTGGGTTAAAGTATGTAGAAATACATTTATGTACAGCTCGCAAATAACCGTGAACGCCGGCAAAATTAGAAAAATGTGCTTTGACTGGGTAGCAGTTAAGTACTACGTGGAACATGTGAACGGCATACACAAAATTCGTAAGCATCAACGGTGGATATGAGAAGCTTGCATTCAAAGCGGTGGATATGAGGAGTACGAACCTCTTTTGGTCCATATTTGTTGCAAAAAAGGCTCGTTTGCGAATCAAGCAAACACACACATATGTGATCTTACTTTAATGCGTTTTTTTGGGATAGTGGTGTAAAAACTCATTTAAAAAGTCGTAGATACGGCACTGATTCTGTAATTGATAGAACTGCTTCTGAAAATGCAGTAAGGAAATGACACTTTCTCCGAAGAATAGGTTTGCATATCCTGATGACTTTCAAGAATTTAAATAGGCGCTTCAAATTAAGTGTGATGTTTGCATCAACAGTCAAAAATTCATTAAGCTTACTGTAAGTTCTTAGTTTCGAATATGTTGTATCGCTCCATACTGTCCTCACAAATTCTGTTCGTTGCGCGCTGTTGTCGGCTAGCATATCCGAAATGCGCATATCAGATGGATGTGCTGGTCCAGCAATTGTTAAGATGCAATAAAAACGCCAGAACAGTGCCACGAAGAATGTGGCGTTGTTCGACGACTGCATTTCATTGCTTTACAGTGCTTGCTTTGGTTCCCGAGCAGGAAAGAAAGAACGAGACGCAAGATGCGAATGACCAATTTGAAATGTTTAACAAAATTGAAAATGGTTCGATTTATCAGGGTATCCAGGATGCAGCTGAGCAAAGCAGTGCATCGTGAACGCAGGACATCAGTTCCAAATTATCGACGTTACTGCTTTTGAAAATGAATAGCCAGACGGACGAATGGATGGATCAGCCGACCAAGATACCTGATGTTGCAAATGCATTTGAAACACTGCTGTGTTGCACAGAGTAACACGCAAATTTTGCGAGACGACCAAATGTCGCAATTCAGTAAATTTAAACAAAAAAGCTGTGCTTATTTCTAAAAAAAAAAAAAAAAAACTTTTAATTAGTCAATAAAACGGACCTTGCTTAATCCACATCTAAGCATTCCTTCTTAGGCCATATCAAACTGCATATCAAAATTAAGAAGCTAGAAACTTGGCATCCCTACAAACTTTCAACATTGCACATGGATGGATGGAGGGCCACTGTGGAGGCGAAAGACATACTGGCAGATGAAATTATCACTTTACGACTGTTTTGGTTCTAAGAAAGCGGAGCAGTAGATGACGCCGCTGTTCCTGACTACGCAGCGTCCTCAGTGATCCCGACATTCACGAGTTGGAGAAAGCTGCGCATAGATGCAGAAAGACAACGACGGAGTAGGACGTTCAATGCTGACAGCTGTTCCTAGGCTGTCATCATTACGCCATTGCCAGCTCATCAGCAGTGACTAACGGCGGCGTAAGTATAGTCCATAGTGGCGTTGATGCAGTACTGATCCGTCGCTTCAGGTACACAGCACTAAAACCTTTTTGGCAGTGCGCCTAGAACACCTTTCGGAAGAGCCACAGAAGTCGTCCACGCATTGGCCGCAAATGCAAGGCAACAAAAAAACACCTCCAATGAAAAAAAAAAAAAAAAAAAAAAAAAAAAA